TGCAGAACTGTTTTCAGGATAAAAATATGTGTTCACCTGATGCAGTTCCACATTTCAGTATAGTTGGATCACTTCTCTGCAGTGTTTATTCTTGTTGAGAAAAGAAATAGTTGAACACAGCAGTTATGCTGGAACACTTTGCTCTGTCAAGCCTCCTCTTTGTAGTGTGTTGCTGGTCCTCTGGCTATTTTCCTATACTTCTTTGAGTGCTGTGCCTTTGTGGCTCATCTGTCCTCTTGCATGATCAGTGCTCTACCAGTCATGACGACTGAATGCCATTTCCAAATTTAGGTGCTAATTTGCAAATAGATTTGTCTCTGTGTTCAGTTGCTCTACGAATCAATTTACTATGCCCACCAACTTTTTCCACCTAGCACTGTGCTATCCTTTTTCTTGCTTTCAGCCAGATCAGTGTTGAGTGTCTGGGTTTTCTTCCGTCTTGACATGCAAGTACAGAAAGTGTAATACATTTAGAGTGTCACTGACGGTGGTGACTGCCCAGATCTCAGGATACCTTTCCAAATTCAAAGGCAAAGGTTATGTACACAAAGGATTGCTAGTGGTACCTTAGCCACCTTTGAGAAGGTTTGGCAAAATTTTGAAAGGGCCAAAACTCCTTTGTCTTCTGTACAGCTGAAGGACAAGAGGGTCCCAAGAAGGGCTGTAATGATAGTTTGTTTTATGAAAGAGCGTTGAACAGCCAGTTGGTTCTTGACTTGCAAGAAGCTGGCCAAGACTGTAGATGAACATGGACACCCAGCTCCTGAACCCTGGTGCCCTGTCCATAAGAACATGCATAATGCCAGTTATATGGGAAAAGAAGCTGGTAGGCATTAACTTTTATTAAAAATCATTTGTTATTGCTTGCTGAAATATGCTACATTCATCCCTGTTTGCTTTCAGGACTCTGTGTTGGCCTGACTGAACCTCTGAATAGGGTGACTTCTTCCCTGGTCTGGCTGTGACTCTTTGACTCCATGGGTTGTTCCCCTATATATCCTCCCTCTCCTTTACCCTGCTTGTGATAGCCCCCTTATAGTATCAGATATTTTATTTAAAAAAAGGAAGATACTCTTTCATCAAGATGTGTGTATTGAAATTGGAGAGCCTGTAGTTCTACCTGGGTGTATGCTGCATTTTGATCATGCAGAAAATGAATTAAATTCATTAGTACAAATCTCATCAAGGTGGGGTTTTTCCCAATAAACCTTAGCCAGGCATTTTTATCATTGTAAATCATAGTAGGACTTTTTATATAAATATCATTTTGTCAACATATTTTTCATTCTACCAAAAACTCATAGGGGATGAAAATGCAAATGAGACTTAGGCCCTATGTTGTACCAAGCAGTTCGCAACAAACAAACTCTACCTAAAATATAAGCAGCTAAATGTATTTTGCAATGTAGTACAACACAGAAATAAGTTAGGTCAGTTGGTCTAAAGGGAAAATAAAAATATGTGGGAGACCTTGTCTAGTAATTTTGGAACATCAGCTCCACTAAGTCTCCTTGACTCCTCAATTTAGTTCCCATAAACGCCCGTATAAATTTCAAAGAGGTAAGTTACAGCAAAGCAATTCTGAAGGGATTTCCTTTCATCTACCAAAATAGGTATTTTCTTCTTTGGTTGTATTATACAGAACTAAGGTATGTTGCTCTGTGTCAGAACTGGCTGCAGCCGCTAGCTGGACTGTGCCAGATTCTTCCCATTCAGATATCTTAATTTCTGGTTTAAAAACTGATCAGCAATCCAGTATGCAATGAGTCTGTAACAGTAACGGATTCTGGGGCTCTGTAGCTCTGCTTAGCACTGTAGGAATGTATTGATCATAATCCAGAAGTAAACAAAAGGGAAAGTGGAAATGGAAGGAGGCTTTGGGAATTGCATCCTGAAATGGCAAGAGTGGGGACAGAAGTGCTCCCATAATTGGGGTGGTGGTGGTGGTGGAATTTTCATGTTTCTTATATGAAAATTTGTCTCAGTAGGGCATTTTGCACTCAAGAGAACGAAAAGGGCACAGGAAAGAGGCTAAAAATAAGTTTTGATAAATTAAAGATTAGCATAGGAATATTTACTGCAGCAGGGCCAGAAATAGGGAAATGGAACTTGACTGAATAAATAAGCACAAAGAGGTGAAGGTAACTGGTAGAGATTGATGCACTGCCTTCATCCTTATAGTATAGTCTCTCCTTGGCTGAGAGACCTGGGGCTCTTTAGCCTGGAGAAGAGAAGACTGAGAGGGGACCTTATCAACACTTATAAATATCTAAAGGGCGGGACTCAAGAGGCTGGGGCCAGGCTCTTCTCAGTGGTGCCCAGTGACAGGACAAGGGGCAACGGGCACAAACTGGAGCACAGGAAGTTCTGCCTCAACACGAGGAAAAACTTTACGTTAAGGGTGACAGAGCACTGGAACAGGCTGCCCAGGGAGGTTGTGGACTGTCCTTCCCTGGAGATACTCAAAACCCACCTGGCTGCAGTCCTGTGTGAACCTGCTTAAGCAGGGGGGTTGGACTAGATGATCTCCAGAGGTCCCTTCCAACTCCTACCACTCTGTAATTCTGTCATGCTTGGAGAAAGTTTTCACCAAAGTGCTGTCCTGCTTCCTTTTTGACTGCCACCCAGCTGCATGCCAAAGGGTCACTGTTTTTTTGTTCTGCAGCTGGGGAACAGGCTCTGTTTGGGAACAGCCGTTTACAAGAAAGCCCTCTGTTGTATCTTTTGGCCTGACAGTGAAAATGGGAAGTTGTCTGTGTGGACTGAGCTCCTTTATCCTTTCTAATGCAATATGCTCTATCAATTTCAAGAACTTACAGGAAACCACAAAAAAAAAAAAAAAAAAAAAGGCTTATCATAATGAGTGGCAGACTTTGCTTAATGAGCCAAAGGCTCACAAATTTTACAGATGTGTGCACAGCAGACAACTATAATACTTTTCTCCTGATTGCATTTTTGTCACTTCTTGCACCGTTTACAGTGTCAAGACAATGAACCCACTTTTTAGTAGATTTTAAAGCTTTCTTTTTTTTTTTTTGTGATTCTTCATCTGTCAATGAGTCGTATTTGTGAGGTTTTTTTACATATCTAAAAAGGATTTTGAAGCATGTGTAAACACCCCATGGACCTTGGGATTAAAATTGGCCATATTTAACCCAGAAGACAAAGTTGAACAATTACAAAAGTGTGCAAAAACTTCCGAGGAAGAGTAAGGCACAATCTGCCCAGTTTGATGCATGTTACTGTATTTAAAATTAGTGCAGGAGAGGTACAAAACCACTGCTTTGCAGCCGAAAAAATTTAAACTCAGCCTGACATACTTCAGTCCAAAACAGACATAGGACTGTCCATCAAAGTAGATTCAGAAGGAATCCTTCATAAGGACCTCAAGGCTTCTGCTTAAAAGGGTAATTTGGGAGCTGCCCAAGAACTGCCATGAAAATCTTTTTGTTTCCTTGCCCTTAGCCGTGATCCTTTGCCAGCTTTTGTTGTTGTGCTGAACAGAATACGTGTTTGTCGTTTGACATGAGAGTTATGCAACTCACCACACCTTATGGTTTGTGCTTATGATCAGCTTGGCTCTCTCAGAAAGCGTGCTTACAGTCTCTTTGCTGTTGCAGTTGATAACCCAAATATAAAAGCATTCCCTACCTGTAATGGCAAGGTGACTTAGAATAAGAATGGAAATGCTGATGCTATCAGTCTCTGCATTATTGGCCATTCCTTCTTTCGACTAGGGAAAATGGAAATATTTCCTTGAAATTCTGTGTTGTGAATTCATCTAGACCAACTTTCCCAGCAAGCTGTGCAGCACAGCATGTACCCTTTCCCATGTGTAAACTGTAAGGCAAATGGTAGGATTGCGGAGTTTGTTAGTTGTGTGTGATGGACCTAAAGCGTGCCATGCTGTCAACAGTGCTGTTAGGGCTGGCAAACTGCAGAAGCTGGTGGAAGTTTATTTTTAATAGCATCATAACTTACTGCAATAAAATTGGAAGCTGATACGCCTACAGCATATTGCGAGTAGCTTATGGTAAGAGATATCTCACATTTCTAGGTAGCTGATGTGGCCATATGCTTCTAACATATGCCTTGAGCTGCGGAGTAAGTTGCACACAGGTCTCCCAGCGTTGTTTTCAAGTCAGCAGCCAGGGTTGCTATCCTTTTGTAAACCTCTAGCTTTATCCTCTGGTGGTAATCAGCTATCGCCGCACTCCGTGTTTAGGAAAATATGTATTAGAAGTCACTTCACAGAAACTGCTGAGTTTCTGATTGTTGTCCTTTTGGACCTTATTGTGGTCTATTTGTTTCCTCCTCTTGGCCGAGCTGTAGAAGGAGGAGAAGCCATAGCAGCTGTTGCTGCTGTTGCTGACAAATCTGCAGGACCATCCGGGTGGTAGTGCCGTGGGACGGTTGTAAAGCTGGTTGGTGCCTAATTGTCTGTTGAGTGCATTTCGTTACAAGAGGCTGTATATACCCAGCAGTCACAGCGGCAGTGGGAAATGTTTGGACCACACTTTTTATTTGAAGATGGCATTTCTTAATAGAAAGAGGTGAACTGTGGGAGGTTAAGTGAGAAGTTATGGAACATTTTCAGTTTGATTCTTTCATGTAGAATACAGTGAGTGGCTTCTAGTGATTTACTTGTGTACCTTATGACCAGTTCTTTAATGCGCAAAATCTGGCATTTGGCCTAAGTACGTGGTGTACTTGCTCAAAGTATTAAACATGTCAGTGTATACTCCCTCACCTTTCTTCTCTCTTCTTCCCCACATACAGCTTTTAGCAGTGATGTAAAAGCAAAGACATTGAGTGAGGAAAAAGTTGACAGGTTTTTTTGGCTGCAATTACCATTGTCAAGTTAGTAGGAAACAATTTACTTCGTGTGTAACTTTAAGCATCTATGTTTCTTATTTTATAATTTAAAAATGCAATTAGCTTTCATTTTAGTGCTTGCTCAATGCTTATTTATTTATTCATTTATTTATTTTTCATATTAGGTTAGCCTGCACAAACCAGAAATTAAACTGGAATCACTAAAAGAAGATATTAAGGATTTTCTGAAGACATCGGGTTTGTAATACTTCATTGATGTATTTGTGAGTAGTATAGATCTATGTAAGAACATACATGACGTACATGATGAAAATAGTAGTTTGTGCAGCTTGGTATCTTGTTGCTGTCAGTAGCCAGCAGCAGACATTCAGTGATTCCAAATTATTAAACAAGATAGAGAAAATTAAAACGGAAAAAGTTCTTGGATTCCAGCAGCATTTTCAAAAACATACTATGCAAATAAGTGATTTTATCATTTTATAAGGTACTGGTAATTTTATTGAAAGTTCTGAATGATACAGAGTTCAGTCACTTCTGAAAATGGGAATCAGCATTCATGGAGGTACTCTTGAAAATTTTACCTTTCACTACATTTTCAGTTTCCAATGGAAGTTGCAGGCTATGTCACTATCATGTGAAGATTTGATTATAAGTGATAGAAGATTTATAGTAATCAGGAACACTGTGTCTATTAATATTTATAGTTTTAGTAATATGATGGCTTTGAAAAAATAGCGTATAATTAACCAAAGCTGTGTTGTAATTATTTGAACAGTAGAATGAAATAAAGGACATTCAACTTTTATACAGGTCTACACTTGCAGGTTTTCCTGTCTTAATTAGATTAAGGTTTCTTTATCTCTTCCTGTCTCTCTGGTAGGTAAACATGAATTGAGACAGGACAGAAAACTCTAGTGCCTGCAAAGCAACCTCTGATTAATATTCCGTTAGTATTCATTCCTAAAGTTGTCTTCTGGATATTTTTTTAATTTTAACAGGTTGGGAAAAGAAGCTTCAGAATGCTGTTTATAGCGAACTCAACGTGTGAGTTTATTTAGAATTTTTATTTAATAAGTTCTACTCACATTATTTACTTTTGATTAATTTATATACATATTACGTGTTGCTGTTATCTGCAAGGTCTGTCAAACCAAGGGTACCTGCTTCATTTCTGGTTTTAAAGTGCCATAATTTCTTTTTCATCCTAGTGAAAATATTGGACTCAAGTACATTTTAAAGAATGAGTGAAACAAATATCACCAAATTTTTTAGTTACTTTAGTAATTTCTTTGTTGTTTTACTTCCAAAGGTACCAACAGTCATAATATAATTCTTGTGATTGCTGCAAATGAATTTTAATTATTCAGATGTTTCTGACAGCATTGCACATTTGTTGTTCAGTGAACTTTGGATTAGACTTCTGGGAAGCATGAATTACCTTTACATTCTGGCAAGGTGAATTTCATGACAGATAGAGCCATAAATGCAACTATATAATAAGAAATGTGTATGCAAATCTATTTGTGCTAATTTAAATAAGCTTATTAGAATTACCAGTTTTGAACAATGTGTCTTAGTAGTATGATGGTCTCAGCTCAGCAAAATACTTTTAAATGCATCTGTTAGTCAGGATTCGTCTTCATTGTGTCTTTCAAGCGAAAGATATTTACCTGTCTTTTGGAGTAATGCTTATGCTTTCTTTGAGTTCGCAGAAATAAGCTACAAAATAATGAAATTAGCCCTAAAAAATTGAAATTAGCTAAGAATATCATGATTTCATCAGCATTGTGGAACAGCCAAGAAGCAGCATTGCTGAAACCTGTTAGTATTGATTCCATTTCACACACAGGCACAGCGTTGTCCAGAACAAATTAGCAGCAAGTACAAGAATGACCCTACCAGTTAAAAATGGGAAGAAATCTGGGGAGCGTTTCCCAAAATCATAGGATAGGAACTGTTTGAATACATGTAAACAAATGAAAATTCAGGCTAACTATGAGAGAAGCTTTGTGTAAATTGTGTTTCATGAAAGACATTTGAGGCAGTTGAATTTAAGCTGGATAAAATGTTTGTCATTAACTCAGTGGAAGTAATCTGCACTACTGGAACATAAATTAGTGTTTTGCTGGGTTTTTGTTTTTCATTTTGTTCCGGCTTTTATATTTTGGCATAATGCAGTTTATGAATGCATATCCAACTTTGCTTAGGTCAACACCACAAAGCTCTAATTGCTTCAGACATGTGCTCACTATTGATTTTTAAAAGGAATTCCTCCAAAAAATATATTTTCTGTTGAAAAAATACAGTATCCTGGATAGTAAAAGTTCCAGGGAGTTATAAAAATGACTTGATTTGAAGAGGATACAAGTCTAAAATACCTGATTTGTTCATAGAATTACTTGATTTTATTTTTAAAATATGTGAAATTATGAGGAAGTATTATTTTTAATACAAGAACAACTCTTGTTGAAATGTTATTAATACTTACATTATCTTTATATTGTTTGTGTCCATAGGAAAGGATGAGGAAGAAATACTTCTAAAAACAATGTTTATTTTTAGTTTTGATCAACATACACAGTGGTTTTACTAGTACTGTCATGAAAGAAGCTGAGTTTAGGTTTACAAATACAGGATTCATTAAGCAAACTGAAAATCTGAACATTTAAAATATACTGTACTTTCTTTAAGGTTTCCTTCACCCTGCCATCCTGCGGCACCACCTGAGCATATGAAAGAACCATTAGCTTATATGAGGAAAGCACAGGTTGGTTGTTATCAATTTTACTGTTCATGTCAGATCTTTCATTAGACTATTTGAGATGTACTGTGTATAATCTTATTGTACAATTTCTAGGTTTTATACCTTAGGAAAAACCACAAATTTGTAATTGCAGTGAAATTAATAACAATTATGTATTTGTGACATTTTACATACATACAAAAAATGCTCAAGTAATTCTCCAACCATGAAGGAAGTAGGATATAGTGGCAGGAAGGTGAATATTGTAGAATAGAGACAATGTGAAATATGTCAAGGAAGAGAATTTGATTTTGTTAGGAAGAAGAAAAAGCGTAGCTATAGGTCATTTCACTTTGAGTTTCAAAAATATTGAAGAGACACAGGCAGGCAGTTTTGCAATGAAAGACAACAGGCTGCAGAGATAGCGAGATCTACAGAAATAGAAGATATTTTTAGTACTTAAAAATGTGAAAGGAAGATGAAAAGTATAGAGCTAAGGAGCTTAAGGCATATTGAAAGAGAATAAGAGACTGGACTATAAAAGATTAAATGAGGATTTTCGGTGTCATGAAAAAAATATTTTTGCTTTGTTGGTTTTATTTTTTCACCAATATATGCCATTAGAAAGAAATAACAATATCCACATAAAAATGTAAAAAAAAAAAGCTTCAAGGATATGATCTAACCACAATATCTGAGGTAAGCACAAAACTGTATTTAACTCAGCCGTGCCTAGAAATACATTGCAGTATTCTTTTACAAAGTATTCAACAAATTGTGTTACTTTTTCAATCATATTGTTGTTTATTCCAGTAAGTCTTATCTTGCTGTCCTGGGTTTCAGTCTTTAGCATTTTGGGACAAAGATTGTGTTAAACAATTTTTCTTCCGTGGTGTGAAATGTAATGTCACAATTTTCTGCCTGAAAATAATCACTTTTACTAGTTTAGTAATGCAAAAACCACAGAGGTATACCTATGCGTATGTTTGTCTAAATCAGTTTCATTGGTTATTATTTTATAAAAATCTATACAGTAACCAACATTTTAGCCCTATGTGGAAAGGACACTTTTTCTCATAGTTTGCGAATGAGTAGAAGCCCTGTCTTTTCTAGTTTCAAAATCTCATAGTCCTGTTTCAAAGAGTGTAAGGCATCCATATCCGCTGAGGTGGGTTTACCCTGGTAGGCAGCTCAGCTGCTCACTCCCTGCCCAGTGGAATGGGGGAGAGAATCAGAAGGGCAAAAGTGAGAAAACTTGTGATAAAGACAGTTTAATAGGTAAAGCAAAAGCTACACATGCCAGCAATGCAAAATAGGATTTCATTCACTACTTCCCATCAGCAGGCAGGTGTTCAGCTACCTCCAGGAAAGCAGGGCTCCGTCACACATAATAGTTACTTGGACAAACATAACTCTAAACATTCCCCCTTCCTCCAAGCTTTTTTAGTCAGAGCATGATGTCAAATGGTCTGGACTATCCCTTTGCTCAGTTGGGGGTCAGCTGTCCTAGCTCTGTCATCTCCCAAGTTCTTGTGCACCCCCAGCCTGCTTGCTGGTGGGGAAGCATGAGAAACAGAACTCTATCATCCCAGCCAAAACCAGTAGATCCTCTTTCAAATCCTTTCTTGAAATAACAGCTCTTCAAAAAAGACATGTGAATCCTTTTCACAGGGAAATATTGGTAAGTGGTGGTAGTTGCAAAATAGTAATAAATGCACTGTTAGGAAATTAACATTATATTTTCTAAAACTACTGAGGTATGTCTGAGTGTTTCGTTTTCAAGATGCACGCATATTTATCACTGTAGGTAATAGGTCCATAAGAAACCACTCATGATCAGATCAGCTGAATCACATCTAGGTTTTATTTTGTTATTCTTTTTCATTAAAGAGCAAGAAACAATGTAAAAAACTTACAAAGTCAGCATTTCAATGGTTTTATTTATTTGTTTAAAGTATTTGGAAATAGCAAAATGCAAATATACCAACAAAGGTATACAAAGTTATACTCAGCCAAATGAATATGCAGCAGTCATAATTGACAAGAGAGCAGTCCTCAAGAGCCGGGAGAAGCCAGAAGAGGACCAGGAAAAGAAGGAATCCAACAGGACCTCACTTCCTCAGCCAACCTTCCCCCTTTAATTATAAGGGACCATGACATTATGGTGTGGACTACACCTGTAGCTAACTCAGGTCAGCTGCTCTGGCTGACTCAAAACCGCTAACAGCTTGCCTAGCATGTTTGTCCTGTGATGCTGTCCCAGCCAAGCTGGGACATCCTAATAGGTCATATTGTGTTTTTATTATGCACAGCTACTGTTGAAGATGCTGCTTCCATTGTTGCGAGCTTGCTGACATTTTCTTTATCCTTTTCTATCTTAATTATTTTTGCTTTATTTCAGAATTTTGGAAAGAATGGTAATACTCTCTGAAAGCCATCTTACTTTGGTATCAGTGATTGGAATGACTTTGAATCAGTAATTAAAAGTATATCATTGTTTTTCTAGAGTAGATAATAAAATGTTCATAATTAACCCTTTTTCTCCTCAAATTGGTTCTGTTTTCTCATTCTTAGGTGGCAGACTGAAGTTTTTGTACTGTATTCAGTGTCTCAAAAGAAAAACAGCTTTCTAGGAAAGGATAGAGCATTAACGGCAATAAGTAGTAATGCTGTAAATCATTCATGCAGTTATAGGAAAAGTACTGCTATTAATCTTTACATATCTTTGAATATTAATGTAACATAATCTGTATTTTCTAATCGTGTGTGCTGGAGAGCTGGCCCTGGGTTTGGGTTGAGATAGATCACTGGATACAGCTGCTTTAGTCTGTCATTGTTTCCTAGACAGAGAAATACAAAGTCTTGTATTCTTTTCTTTCCTGAAAAATCTCAGATACAACATTTAGGACCTTTCTTCAAAACATCAGGTTATTTCACATCCCTGGTGTTTTCTGAGGTATTTGGTCTGGTTACAGTTTTGGGGAGATAGCTCCCCTCTTCCCACCTTGTTAAACAGCAGAATTATTGCTTAAAATTTAGGCATCTTAATGCAGACAAAGTGTTAGCACTAGATTCTGGGATTAAAAATTTGAACTTTGCTAATTTGCTTTAACTGCCCAGCAGAGACTGATGTGAGTTGAAATGTTCCTGAATCCATTGAACTGCTGTATTGACTATTTTTATATCTACATTTTGATGAGGTGAAATGATTGCAGACCTCTTCAACTGTTTGTTTTGCTCCCAGAGTTCACTGGGAAAGCCTTTGCTAGGTTTAGGACAGCTCAGCTACAAACATCAATGAAGCGAAATGGACAACACAAAAATAAGAGCAAAAATTGCTAAAGAGAAGCTTAAGAAGCTGAGTCCAAAGAAGTGTTAGGAAGTGTTTCCACAGTCTGATGCCTCCCATGAAGCTGTCTTTAATTGTGTCGTATGTAGATTTTACGAAGTTCACAAGAAACCAAACACTTTAAATCTCGACAGGAACTCTTTATCGTGATAGCCCCATAATATATGATCAATAAATTTGCACTGCTATGTTTTAATCTATACAGGTCCTTTTTACTGTTTTTAGCTGTAAGCTAGGAGCTTGTTTCAGGGTTTTGAGAGAAAGGTTAAACAAGTAAACTTAAGGAGGAGATAGGTGCACAAGAAATGGTGCCCCATCATCCAGTTACAAAGCATAAGGAGTAAGAAAACAGGAAAGGAGCAGGCAGTTCTTTGTTGGAGTAGGTCTGCTTGGCTCCAGCAGCTGCTTTCCACAATTGGAGTGGGAAAGGTGTTGCTTTCCAGATCAAGGCCGTGTTAACTAGCTATCTTCAAAGGAATCTGAGATACTCAACTGGCTGTGCAGAACCCATGTTGTTTGAGTTATTAATACATATTTTTACTTGATGTTCTTTAAAGTTTTGTTCCATTACTTCTAAATTTATCTTCAGTGAAAAAAATGGTAGGTTCATCTGAAATGTCTGCAGTCAGAAACATAACTCTGGATGATCTTCTCCAATACAGTATACCTTCCTGAAGGTAGGGCAGCTCTTGAAGCTAGAGTACTGGAGTGCATTCAGAAAAATGAGAATTCTGCTTCAGGAAATCTTAATGGTGATTCAGTGCGTTCTACTTGAGTAGCATCAGCTGGATATCTAAAAATACAGGCACCTGAAAAGATAAATTGATCTCTGGTGGGCTGCTCTTCAGACTTCTGAGAAGATGGAAGACCATAATTGTCTGTATTTTAACCTGTCTGTATTTTAACCTGTTTGTCCCTTGCATCATTAGATTCTTTATGTCCATGCTTCTAGACAAATCTATGAAAGTCTTGTTGAAGTGGAGCTTTGCTAAAGCAGATCCTTTCCTTGCAGTACTGAAGTTTTCTGATGTTCCTCTTAGAAAACTGCCGTGAAGTACGTTGTTATATTTGCTATTGATATTCTGGTAGTTTTTTTGCCCAGCTAAGACCAGATTCCCCTTGTACATGCTGTACAGACACACAATCAAAAAAGCATTCTGACCTGTTTGTTTATAGCTAGAGCACTCCCCAGTCCTGTTTAAAATATGAGTAACATGTTACAGTTGATTTCAATAGGAGCGTGGGTACCAGGAACTTTCTAAAGTCTAATAGAGGTGTTCCTATCTGTATCCTGATTTGTCCCAGAAGAGTTAAATAATCCCTAAAGGACAAAAAACAGGTAAATTATTCATTTTCTCTCTTGAAACAGACTGGCAGAATCTGAAAAATTAAAATGGCAATACTGCATATTCTAATGCTGTGACTGCTGAAGATCTGCTTAAAACATCTTTCTTCAATAGTCAATTCACCTTTCCTAGTTTCTGAATCTCCAAGAAAGTAGACTTGAGTGCTTGAATAGTTGATAAAAAGAAATGCTATTTTGTTTGAAAAGTATTGAAGTCAAAAGAAATTTGATAACATTTTTATTATTCCTAAAAGAATTTCTGTTTCTTATTACAGAAGTTGGAGTAGGGAATATTCAGATCTCTTTTAGATCATGTATTGATTTGGTTCCTTGTGTCCTAAATTAAGTTATGTCTCTTATCAGAGGCCAAATTAAAAGTTCATGAGCATCAGTACTAGAGCAGTACAAACAGTTTCTGTATTTCTCTTCTTTTTGAAGTTTACAGGTTTTGATTAGAGAAAATGTACCAAATAAAATCTCTGTCCTAACACCTTGAATTCTGCCCGTAGAGTAGATGTTATTAGGTACACTCTGAAAGAATCACATTTCTGTCTAGTCTTCTAGAAGAAAGAATTTTAGCATTCATTATTGTGAAAAAAATTGTAACTAATCCTGGCTAGTTTATGCAGTTGTGACATATTTCTGTTTAGTTTATTCCTTGTCCACCCAGGATCATTTAACTGCAGTGAAAGTTTATAAATGATTTTGCTACAGGATAAGATAAATCTGATTTGTAGTAGACATGTTTGAAATTGTTTGCAAATTGCAGTACTGCCTTCCTCGGTTTCTGCTGGTTTACTGAAGGTTATCATTGTAACCGTAGCAATCCCAGCAATGTGTTTTCTTAGTGTTAAATTTCTTCATAAAATTAGAGGAATCATCTTGGAAAATTATTGTTCCCATCAGTGAAATGACTTTATGAACTCTGCCACTGGCTTTTATTTCAGTTGAGGGCGCTGCATTCAGTTTCTGCTCACTGCAGGTAACTCTGCTGTCCTGGGGAGAGGGGAAAGCATCTTGCTTAGAGAGGCTGTGTAACCCTCACTTTTGTTTTGACTTGGTTGCTTCTATTTGAATATCTTTTACTGGTCAAAGTCCTGAAGGCTGAATTGTAGCACAGTTTATGAGTATTCCAGAAGTAATTTATTACTAACATATTGCATCCCCAATGCAATAAGCAGGTTAATGTCTGGTCTGGCGGTTGTCAGTCACACTGAGAGTATTGACCTCTGCTTCTTGGAACAAGCTGATTCTCAGTCTTGCAAAGCTGCCGTGTGCCTCTTCTGTGCTTCTTTTGTAGCTTTTATCCGTGCTCCCCCACCCCCTGCATTAATTTTGATGAGATCAAGTGTACCCTGATGAAGTTTACCAGTGACACCAAACTGGTGGGGAAGTGGATCGTTCGGAAGAGAAAGCCACCTTGCAGGAAGACCTGGATAGGCTGGAAGGGTGCGCTAACAAGAACCTTATGAAGTTCAACAAGAACAAGTGTAAGGTTTTGCACTTGGGGAAACATAACCCAGGAGTGCAGCACAGGCTGGGATCTACCTGGCTGGGAAGCAGCTCTGTGGAAAGGGACCTGGGGGTCCTGGAGGACAACAAGCTCACTGTGAGTGAACTGTGTGCTGCTGCAGCAAAGAAAGCCGGCAGGATGCTGGGTTGCATCAGTATGGGCATCACCAGCAGAGGTAAAGAAGTCATTAACCCACTCAACTCAGCGCTTGTCGGACCACACCTGGAATATCATGTTAAGTTTTAGTCCGCACTATACAAAAAAGGTGTGGACAGGCTGGAGAGGGCCCAGAGAAGGGCCACAAAGATATCAAAGGACTGGAAAGCCTGCCATATGAGGAAAGGCTGCAAGAAGGGGGTTCGTTCAGCCTTGAGAAAAGAAGGCTCAGGGGAGACCTTGTCACCATGTTCCAGTATTTAAAGGGCGGCTACAAAGAAGATGGAGACTCCCTTTCTACAAGGAGTCATATGGGAAAGATGAGGGGTAATGGTATGAGTTACTCCTGGGGAGATTCCAAATGATTGGACACAAGAGGAAAATTTTTCACAAATCAGCCATTTGAATAATCTCACCAGGGAGATTGGGGAGATTATTGGACACTTGGACACTTTCAAGATTCGGCTAGACAGGGTGCTGGGCCATCTTGTATAGCCTGTGCTTTTGCCAGCAAAGGTTGGACCAGGTGATCCTTGAGGTCCTTTCCAACCTGGTGTTCTGTGATTCTGTGACTGATCTTGATGATTTCACTTTGTTTTTTAAACTGTTACTAACACCTCTGTATTCTCTCTTTATTTCCACTTTATTATGCTAGATGGCTTAGTAGTTGTGCCTTCTCACTTCTCATTTCTTCCAGCAGCAAACCCACACTTCTCAGCAAAATTGGGTACTGTAAATGGTCTACACCACTCCTCCACAGGAGAATATCCAGTTTGTGGCATGGTGTTGTGTAACTGCAGCATTTGGAAGGGATTTGAATACGATAGTGCAGTTAAATAAAAATATTGTACAGAATATTATAAAAAAACCTGCAATTTGGAAAACATTCCTTACAGTCAAAACTCAGGTCTGTTTGGTTTATGCAAGAGAAGATGAAGGGATGGCTTGGTTGTAAGAAGAAATTTCTCATGAAAGATTGCTATTTTGTTTGATGGAAAAAGTCGAGAGAGGATCTTCTAAATGGATGCTAAAATGAAACAATTACAGACATGATATATATATTTTTTTTAACAGAACATTTGAACATCTGCCCACTTGCTTCCTGTCTAATAAACTGCAGCCTCTTTCATACAGAACTTTAAGTTTGAGTAACGTATGTTTAGACAGTAACTAACTGTTGTAGAATTTGTGTCTGGAGCAAATTACAAATAATTAATAGAGCTAAATGACATTAAGAGGAGTCTTTGCATTCATTTGATTGAGGCCTGACTATCATCCACAGAAAACTAAATTAAATATAAAACCCACCAGTGCTGCTGTAATCACGGAAGCAAAATCCTAAGTCTGTTGACAAGGAAGTCCATACTAGTTGGCATTAACTTCAGAGGAATTATCCACGGATTAGGTACCATATGGTAAGTTTGAAGTCTAATGCAATAGTCGGAAGAATCTGATTGCTCTTTAAGCTATCCACTTGGTACTGAGGTATTGTCTACTTCTGATTTTGTCTTTGATTAGAGAGCTCTTTCCTGAGCATTGTTTTAGAAGAAATGGGGTTTTTTTGAGCATTAGAGAATACCAAATTTCTGTCTTTTTTAACTTCTGAGAAAGGTATCTAAGATACCTTTTGTGGAGGAAGACTTACACTCTCTTCGGGTCACAACGTGGAGAAGGCATTCTCTGTACACAGTTGATTGCCTTCATTATAATTGTTTGAAAAATTTGTTAAATGTTGATATATAAAGAAGCTTGATCATTAGGCATATGTCAAAAATCGATAATTGTGAAATACATGCCTTTTGGAGATTTGAAATGTGAGCAACTCATTTTTCTGGTTCTTTATTGTGATGTAAATGATGAAATCTGTTTGCTCTATTATTTCCATTTAAATAAGCGTGTAAATATTTCCTTAATGTTTTTACAGTTGTCAGTTAGTAACTCTTGCTATCCTTTCTTATATATGACTTTAAAAAGCTGCTTGTTATTACATGTTAAATGCAATTGGACAAAAAAGAAATTCCATATGATTCAATTTTTTTGTGTTTTAGGGAAGCTGGGAGAAGCGAATTCTAAAAAGTCTAAACAGCATGTGCACAGAACTCAGTATCCCACTAGCGCAGAAGGTAACGCATTAACTTCTGTTGCCAAACTGACATTTTTTGGAAATTAGGCCTCATCTTGCAAACTTGTAATGTTCATTTTACACGTGATGATCAGGAGCTGCAAGGCCAGTAAACAAATAATTTTAGTACAGAATAATTTTCAGGGATAGTGGCAATGTATGCATCAGCTCGGCTTGGGAGAAGATGGAGTCTATAGGTAGATCTTCTTTGCTGTTGCAGTAATTGTCCTCTTGAGGGAGCAGCATGTTGGAAAGCTAATTGCTATGTTTATTGCTCTTAACAGAGCATTTTTGTGTGCAGACTCAGCTGTATTAACATCTGGCAGCATAGCCTGTACACAACATAGATATACTTTGTGTGCTGGAGAAAGCTATAGTTGAACTGGTACTTTACGAGAGAGAGATACTGGTCCATTGCTAATTTTGTTTGTCATTCATTCTACTCTCTTTTATTTTGGTTTTCATTCATTTAGAGGCTTTAATTTTAAAGATCATGGTATTGGGGAATAATGTTAGAATGTTTTGTTCTTTATCTTTCTCCTGTTCTGTATCTATGATAGGTAGCAGAACCACTACGGTTCATCGTATGAGATAAAGGATGCAGCTGTTTTTGCTTTTCATGACTGTGCCAGGGACAGGAATTTGATGGCAGAGCCCAACAGCTCTATGGAATGAGCAGTAAATCTTCAGTAATATGAAGCTGACTACTAAATAGCCTAAAATACATTTAATATTGTATTTTTAATAGACTCCTTTTTCCTTGAACTGAAACTTGGACTTTCTACAGTAGAATATGCCTTCAGGCTGGGGATAATCTGTAAGCAAAATAAGTTTGTGTTGCTAGTGCAACTTATTTTTTCAAGTGTTATTTATGTGTTTGGAATAGTTTTGAAGTGTTTTTTACATTTGTTTACATTTGAAATGTTTTTACTCATTCTGTTAAAAAAAGAAGAGTTACCTTCTTATGCCTTTCAGAGGCCTGTAAGTGAACAGAAAGAACTGCTTAATAAATGGAATGAAATGGGAACTGATGAGCCAGGTAAGGTCAACTAAATTTATATGCATTCATTTTTTGTACATAGAAAAATAGCATATACATCTAATTTATCAGTCAAAGATTAATCTAATCACTTCAAGGTAAACTAATTTCAATGTTTTTTCTCATTGGTAGTGTGTCACTAAGCATAAATAAACATTCATTTCATTGTTATTTTCTTTCAAGTTATTCTACTAACTTTGAGTCATCACTGGGGGTTTATGGTATAATACTCCTCACTCCAGTGCTTTAGAGATTTATACAGCTAGGGCACAGCTCCTCTTAGTGTGAGCTCAGGCTAATAGAAAGAAAATGTTCAGAACTATGGATAATTAAGCTCAGATGTTTTATTAACAAAAGATAGAGTAACACTTGCAAAGAATAGTCAGTCATGTTATCCTTTGGGAGGGCAAGGCTAACTGCCGCCTTAGTTCATATCCAAGTTCCTTAAAAGAAATGATTTTGCACAGGTACTAGTTTGTATTGCAGTACTGCCTCTGAGATGGCAAATACTTTTCATGGGTTGTTTATGACCGGTCCCTATTTTTTATTTGACAGCAGTACATTTAATTCAACAATCTATGCTGTTAAAAATAAACTGAAAAACCTCTTTTGAATATCATGTCTCCCATGTCTAAGAATGGTTCAGTCAAAAGTCTTATGTGGAATAAGTAAAAACTTCCTGTTCATGTACTTGGGGCTTACAAAACTAAGGCACCAACAGTAGCATAGTCTTGGAGAATATGTGGTGGTTGTAGCCTTGACATCTGTGATAATGTTATTTTAATCTTTGCTCTAATATGTTATTGAAATTGCTAGATTTCCCATAAAGGTATGGGAAAATTGCATGGTTTTCTAATCTCTTGGTTTTAACATAGCATCATTGAAATGTTGTTTCAGATCTAAGTCTCTTCCGGCCTGTTTATGCACCCAAAGATTTCCTTGAGGTAAGCATTTACAAAACAATGGCTCAGCAATCAACTTGCATCCATTATATAGTCTTTTATGTGAAGTGGGAAAAACAATTGCGAAGTGTATTTCAAACAATTTGTCCTCTATAGCAAGTGAAAGTTGGCATGTTTTTAATGACTCCATGTTCACTTTACAAAACAAAATGCTCTTGTCTCTTTTTTTTAACTGCAGTTTTAAATTGTACTTGTGATAAATTTGTCTTTTTCCAAAGAACAGGTTGGAGCTAACTTTCTTCATCTGAGAGCAATTCTCCAACTGATTTCATAAAACATGTTACCTTTTAAATTGCGATATGTTAAGTTGATAAATTGCAATTTGTGAGGCTGATAGACTGTTTGGTTGTAGATAGTAGACCTGTATGCAGTTGAAATTGTAGGTCATCTATGAATATGTGAAAAATCAAACATGAAGCAGAACTGTGTGGATTTTAGAGGCTTCTGTCTGTAATCAAACCATTAAAAAATAATGACTGCTGAATCTTTAAAGTAAGAAATGACAGCATTACTCATCATTTTGTGTGGTTCAAGCACAGAACATCTTGGTAAAACAGAACTTGCTTTACCAGCTATGCTTAGAATAGGCATGGTGATGGACAGTAAACATTATTGATGATAGTGAACTTAATGGTGACACAGTAAGAGATTTTGGATTAAAATGTGATTGAAAATAAAATTTAAAAAATCAGTGTCTGTATAGCCTGTGAGTTATACAGGAAACAAATAGTATAGAGTATGACAACGGTGTACAATTACAGAGTTAAGATGGCCTCCTCATTTATAGAATAAAACTTAAAAGTCTAATACTGAATTATCAGTCAGAATCAATGGATTAATATTTCAATGTGATTCAGTGCAAGTTTAGTCTTTCATAGAGGAGATTTATAGTGTTTCTGACTTAAGTGTAAATTGTTTCATGGCTATGAATTCTGAATGCATTCCTGAATCCAACAATAAACTTTCTATACATTTTATTACATTTCTAAAGAACTCCTCTTGTTCAGTTGGTGATAATGTTATTGAAAATTTTTAATTTATTCCATTTTCCATCCCTGTACTGACAGCCAAGTTGTGTATTTAATTTTGAATCTGTAAACAAATCCATCTTAATTTTAACCTTATCCAGTGACCTTCATTGTCACTCTCTTTTTCTTTTATACTCTTTTCTTTCCAGAGTTTGCAGTTTGTTACATTCTTTTAATTTACAAGTCTGACAGTGAGGTTATATGGTATTAGAATACTTAGAAGACTGAGTATTGTAGAGGTAGGATGTTGTGGAAGAATTTCATAAGAGCTGGAAACTTATCTTAGAAAGAATCCTTGCCAGCTCGACATTGTAATATCAAAATCTATACCCATGGAATAACAGTACGTAACAGACTGTAAATTCCTTTCTAGATCACAGTTACTTACCTTGACATTATGATTCCTTGTACCTTAAATTTTATGCTTACTTCAGGTTTCCAATTCTGTTTGTTTTTTTTTCTTAAATGAAGGAAGATATTTTAGTGTGTTACTTAGTAATAAATTATTTTAGTAGCTAATCGTGTAGCACTTTGATTGAAAGCTACGTAAGATTGACAGTGTAAGAATATGGATAAAAATTCTTTCAGAAAAAAGTAATACTGAAGAATATTCTGGATATTTAGCCATCGGAAATATACTCTTGGGTTTCAGATAGCTTTGATGAAGAAGTGAATTTTAGTCAAGACATTACTGTGTAGCCAGCACTTAATCCCATATATCAAAAATCTTTCCCTTTTTTATTTCATAATTTGAGTTTACTTTTCAAAGTAGAATATGTTTGCTTCCTTAAAAATTTGGCTCCTTTTTGATTTTGAAAATGTTAAGATAAATTTGATAATTTGGGCCTATATAGATGATAGCTGCAGGAAGTGGTTTTATGCTGAATGCATTATTTGTACTACTGAGCACGTTAAGAGTTCTGAATGTAAATTTTGGAATGTACACAAGGAATGACATAGCTACCATTTTTAAGGTACTGATGAATCTTCGAAACCCAAATTATGAAAACGGAGAACAGCCTAGTTTCAGAAATCATCTCGGGCTAATTCAGGTTCCTTTAAAAGTTAAAGATATTCCAGAATTGGTAAGTATATTTTTTCTTACAAGAGGCTTCTGTAAGAATTATTTTGCCTTGCTAATGAATAAAATTCTAAACAACAAGGAAGAATATTAGTATCATAAGTTTCTCCTTTTGAAAGTGAAAATCAAAATATGTAGCTGTAACACAGAGCATAAAGAAGTTTTATGAAGAGACATTTTTAATGAAAAATAAAACATAAACAGTAAATTGTGTGGCAGTAGGAAGGTTTTCATTTTACGATATACAGTTTTGATTTGTGCCAAAAATATACTTCTGTACATGTTATTAACTCATTTGTTTTCTGTACAAGAAACTTTAAATATGTAGTTCATCTTAATTCTACAGTTTTATTTGATGCTGTACAAGATCAATAACCTGAAGATCAGTTAGCTTCTGGTTTTCTTCTCAAAGTAATTTTAAGTCCCTTTATTGTCAGATTGTAAATAAAAGGAAATGCTTGGGTACTAGTATTATAATTGGAAAATAGGAGAGCTCTTCTTAATCCTTCACTGATAAGGCTCTTAAGGCTTTTGTGCTAGTAGAAAAACTTACACTTGGATTGGAGAAGAGCTGGGAATTAGAGATCCTTAACCTGGTCATTAGTTCACCACTTTATTACATCCAGGTGTAGGTCATAGTTAACATGAAAACTGGGGCCTATAACTAAAACTAGAATAAGAATTGATGTGAGATTCTTCTCTAAAAACCTAAGTTCTATTTCATATGTATGCATTTAAAAGACCCACGTTTGGTTTAGAAAATACTCGCATTAAGCCTTTCAGAAGAAATCTCTAGTGATTTAGAGAATTAAACATTGTTAATTACTGATTTATGGTTTTGTTTCTTTTCAGAAAGAAGACTTCAGTGAACTGGGCTTAAATATAGGACAGTTGGGTATTGATGATTCAGCACAAGTGCCTCCTGGTTAGCTAATCTGTGCTTCAGTCATTTAAATAGAACACTAATGAGTAGAATACTTTGCAATTATCAAGTAATTTGTGTCTTTTTTCCCATAGTAAACCATAAATATTTGTTCTGTAACTATGATTGTTGTGATTTTCTTAGTAAAACATAGTTAATAATAGAAAACATTGCAAATATGAAGAGTCAGATATGGAGAAGATTAAAAATCATTGCCTTAAGTTGAAAATATGTTAATTTCAGTGTGTTTGAACACTTCAAGATCTAAAGAACTAAATTGCCTGTCTCCAAACATACAGAAAATATCAATAAATGTTAAGCTAACTAACAGATACGCATATATACAGGCATCTTTTAAATAGCTATCTAAGAAAAGATTACAGAAAATATCCATATATTAATATTCAGTAGCTTAAATAGTGCATATTTTCTGTTGGTTTCCCATGTATTTATTTGTGTAGAAACAGGTTTTAAAATGGTCTTTCTGTATGAAAATGGAAAACACTATAGTATCACGGGATTTTTCTTTTTAAAGGGAAACTTAACTAATTGAAAGTCTAGATGCATGTAATATAGTGCTGCTTTGGGATTTGTGTCCTTCAGAACAAAAAATTGTTTAGTATTGTTTCTTCTTAGCTTTTGAAAAAGAATATTGATTATTTTTAATTTTTAGTGATGTTAGTGGTAAAAATCAGCTGAATTTAATGGTGTCTAGTAAAAATATAAAAGGCATTACTAGCTGGAGTATCTTTTTTCATTTATTTTTTGCCATTTTTTTCATGTTTCTTTATTTTCTAGAATTCTTTGAAAATGAACATGTACGTGTTGGACAGAAAGGTATGGATCTGTTTTAATCTGTAACAAACTGTGAGTAGTTAGGAACACATTTAGTAAATTTCTGTCTCAGTTATAGGTACCTCTTAGAATTTTAGGAATTTGACAGACTAACACAAAGAATTGTCAGTAATACCGTTGTAATTTAGACAGAGACAGACAGTAATGCTGTTGTGATTTAGACAGAGACAGAAAAGCAAGCATTTGCAGTCTACCAGCAGCTAGCAGATAAATAGCTCCACAGATATTTCATTAAAAATGAAGTAGGAAGCATAGAGACATAACTTTTTGATGATAACTTAGCTTATGCCACTACTGAATTTGATTTTAAAATCAAAAGACTCTGGACTCACTTCTCTGCACACAAAGTTCTCATTAGTGTAATGGGATTTATGCCTGTGCGTCAGAACAGAGTCTTTTTAATGGTTATTTGCAATTGCAGAACTTGCTAAATATTGCAATACTTAGCTACTATGGAAAATGGACTCATTTGTATACTGCTTTTTCTGAAGAAGTTCTGGGATTTTTTTTGTAGGTTAAGAGATAACCTACAGAAGAAAGGGAAAGATAAAATAATCATTTATTAGTTTGTTTGTAGAAGAAACATACAAGGAATAATTGAAATCCATCAGTATCTGCTCCTTACTGTCTCTCGTGATTCCTGCTAAACATTATCAGCTTCAAAGAAAAAAATATAGAGCAGGTACCATCCCAGAAGTCCTACATCCCCCCTTTTTTTTTTTTTTTTTTGTTGTAGTAACTCCTCCTTTTGCAGTCTTCTTTCTATCCCTCATTGTCTGTTTTCTAATCCAAGTGCAACTCATTAGGGAACTGTTAATCTCTGTTGTTTTCCTGTTTTTTCCAAATAAATTCCCCATCTGGACTTCCCGAGCCAGTCAATCATCTCCACACTGTAATTTTTACTCCTCATCTCTGGTCTGTGTAGAGCAGCCTGTGTTACAGAGATTGTCTTAGCTTTTCCTGTATGCAAATGCACAGATTTTTGTAAAAATGTATGTTAAGAGTCTTGACCATAAACCAAAATCTCAGTTCTTCCAGTGGGAGTCCTACTGCATGCTCTGTTAGGTGTTGGTTATCACTTTTGTTGCCACCGATGCATTGATTTTGCTCTTATATTACATATATTGCCAAGTCTGAGGATTTATTTGTTGTATTTAGTAAACCCCATCTTTATATAGCAGAACTACTTTTTAATATTTTGTATCTCAGTAAGAAAAAGAAGATAAACACTCACGGACACTGAGATGAATCACAGTCTTTTCTAAAGTTTTGTGGGGAATGTGAGAACGTTTTTTCTTTTTGCCCTCTTTGATTAGGAAAAAGGAGTCACACACCATCTGAGTTAGAACTCTGCAGGTTGAACAGAAAATTGTCAGGCTGGTCTAATTAGTATTTAAGAAGAGAGGGAAGGAGAGGGGAATCAATTAAATAGATTTATGATTCCAAACCTCATTCTTCTAAGTCATGACAGGGCAGATATTGTGAATATTTAATGTAATGAAATTTAGAAAAGAAAGTTGTTTCTGAGAGACTTCAAAAAAAATCAGAGGATAGAGGTTTGGAAACTTCTGAGTACCAGTACAACATCTATCTAATGTCTAGATATTCTCACATAAATATTCTTCCAAATCTCTGTGTTGTGAAACACATTTCAGGTCTGAGGGTACAGTTAATCACATAACCTTGATGGGAAACAACACTTCTACCAGATTAGATAGCTAAAGATACACATCTTTCAAGTTTATAGATTTAAGTAAGGAATGAGATAATCTGCTCCAAGGTATGTTCTGTCATGTTCTCTCATTATTGGTATATGTACTCTGGAGGATAAAGACTTTCTTTCTCAGAAGATTCTGTTTTTCCTTCAGACTGACATAAAACAAATATCTACTGTTGACAGGTTTGCTTAGATGAGTCGTTGTTGTGAAGCTTTAGGCTACTCTGTCACAAGGGTCTCATCCTGAATACAGTACTGGACAACAGAATCACAGAATGGTTTGGGTTGGAGGGGACCTTAAAGATCATCTAGTTCCAACACCCCTGCCATGAGTAGGGACATCTTGCACTTGAGCAACCTGGTCTAGTGAGTCAGGAATCTTTTACGTTGTTTTGCATTTCCTACAATATGATACAACGTGAAGATGTGTATGCCAGTTCAGATAAATTCAGGGCATGAAGTAAAAGTCTTTATTTGACACCAAGCAGGGGAACAGAAAGGAATATTAAAGTAGCGTAAGGAACAGCAGACTGAGCAACCTGGTGTAATGCAAGGTATCCCTGCCCATGGCAGGGGGTTTGGCACTAGATGATCTTGAAGGTCCCTTCCAACCCAAACCATTTGGTGATTCTATGTCCAGTACTGTATTCAGGATGAAGCCCTTGTGACAGAGTAGCCTAAAGCTTCACAATGACCCATCTAAGCAAACCTGTCAACAGTAGAGTATTTGTTTTATGTCAGTCTGAAGGAAAAACAAAATCTTTTGAGAGAGTATTTATCCTCCAGAGTATGTATACCAATAATGAGAGAATATGACAGTACACTCTGAAATGGAAAATTCTTGCCCTATGGTTATCTGTGAAGATGTTCGTATAGTGAACATAAAAATAGGGGAGACACAACAAACCAGAATGAGTGGCAATCTCTAATTCGAACTGAGATATCGCTCTAGTTAAACAGGAGTATTTTGTGGCTATATATGGCTGCTTGTTCCACTTGATGCCAGCCCACTGGCTGCAACTAGCCTTGATACAGTCATAAATACATACTAAGAGGATGCATACTAAGTGTTGTTTTATGACAGAAGGTATTACAGCCTTGCTTATTAATACCAATTGCCTTGTTTCCCAGGGAACTACTTCAAAATTGCATTGTGGAAACGAGACCATTTAGATATTTTCCCATTACCTAATGCTTACAGCACAGTAAACTGGTTTCTAAAGTTAAAGTTCAGAGTATTTTATAATTTGATAAACTTTGGAAGTCTTAGACTACGTCAATTCATTACATGCTTTGTTTCTTACAGTTTTAGCCGAGCAAGATAGTGCTGCAGCTCAACAATATGTTCGTCAGGGCTGTCCAACAGCACTCCGAGCTGATCTGTGGGCCCTCATTCTCAATATTTCTAATCAGCCGGAGGTAAGGAGCAAAGTGAGAATAAAATATGAAGACTAGGTGAAAATACGAAAGTGTGAGCATGTATCTTGTAGTATTCTTTTTCCAAAATAGAAATGCTCTACTGAGTTGTCACAGAAACTGATAAACTTTTTATGAGAAATATACACATGCCTGTAAAAAACTCCATGCTGTGGTGAAGCCATTTAGGCTCTTCCCTAATTTTTTAACAGCTATATGAGCAAAATACTGTAGAACAAACTGTTCAATTGATCTGGCTAGCTCCTGAAGCTTTCCTTTATGGTGCTAACTTTTTCGGAAGGGGACAAGAAAAAAGTCCTGGAAAGAAGACTGACTTCTCTTATCTTTGCTAAGTTTTGTAAAAAGAAGATGTGCTATACGTTTTTTCCTGTCATCCTATTCATGTATGTATCTTGTAAATTGCTTTATATATTATTGCATATACTCTACATATGTACAATCAAAATGACGTAAATAGGAACTAGTAAGATGTGGATTGTTTTCATACTCCTTTGTACAACAGCAGTTTTTCGTCGTACTTTATAGTTGATGCAGGTCCTCAACAATGACATCTTTTGCAGTATTCAAAGCCATGCTATGGTCAATATATCTAATATACCTTAAAAAGTTATATCCCTATTTAAATCTTTGCAGAATTGTGAATACTTTTGATGCAAGGCTTTTATTGCAATAAAAAAATAACATGTGTACATGTACATTTGCTCATAAATGTGAGAATTTTACAGTATCTCATGTCCTTTGAGAATATAGCCATTTTCTTGTAATACTGGGGCATTTATTGTCAACTACATAGTACAATCATAAGATCTTGCCCTCAAAAATAAATGTAAATCTTCTTCATTGGCAGCTACCGAAGGAGTTGGAGTTATTTGGTCTGGTACTAGAATTACTTAGTTTATTCCTTTTTGAAAAACAAAATAGGCTTTTATTGCTAGTAAATAAAAGACTCATTTTTCTGTAGAAGAAAGAGCTGTTGAAACAATGGTGAAAATTATGCATCTTACTTAAGATGCTCAACACTAGATTTAAGTTATTTTAAATTATCGGGACAGCTTGAATTTTAGAAGTCTTTCCCTTTATGAGAGCAAGAAATATTTGAGGTGTGAAATTGATGTTGTTGGTTGCGTTGCGTCTGTTTATATTCTGTTAAATGCTGTGTGCTCTGAGCATTTTTATCTTAATGTGGAAAACAAAATAATTGAATAAATTGATTTCTGAAAGTCAAGATAATAATCAGAAAAATGAGGAAAAGTATTTCATTTTATGTTCATGTAAAGCATGAGTTGTTAGGGAAATAGATTTATTAAAATCCATTTCCAGAAATTCACATGGACAGTTTTCAACAGTTACCTTTTTTAAAGAGGAACAAGCTATGTCTGTCTATTAATATATGTCAGCCACACCGTTAGGTCCTGTGAAAATTAACTCCAGATTATAGCTGATTTTAATATGTGTTTATACTATGCATGAAGTGTGAATATTTTAGATATTCTCAAAAAGTTAGTCTCTGCTGTGAGGTTATTAACTCAATTTTCTGTTAAGTAAGCTATAGAACAGTACATTAGTTGTTTGATCACAAGTTCTCATGTGTGTGCCTTTACTGTATAATAAATGGTAATTCAGCTCCAACTTATTGCAAGGATTCACATGGACGTTTATGTCAGGGCAGCTAATATGTTCTCGTTGACATAATATTTTACCTTGAGAGGACTCTCTGTGCATTTAACAGATGATACTCGTCAACTATAGATGAAGAAGAAAAATAAGCTATATAAGCATGCAGTGTGCTGAGATTCAGTGCAGTAGACCTTCTCTTTTAGGAGACATTTTACAGGGTCCAGAGCCTTGAGAATGAACTGAGTAGGCTCTGTGTAG